AGCCAATGAAAGCAGTTTTGGGGCTGCTGTGGCATGGTATCATGAATGGTTATTAAACTGTGAATTAACCTCCTGTCTCATTTAACCATTTCAGAGAAATGTAGTCAAAACTAGGCCAGCAACAGCAGACTAGGAACACCTACAAAGAGCCATTTAAAAAGACTGTAGGTTAAGCAATGATTATGACACATACAACCAGCTACGTTACTACTGTTAGGCAAATTAGTAGTACACTGTGGACTGCAGAGTCACAGAAGACCTGCAATAACCGTTCCTTCTGTTAAGCTATGCTTCACCAAAGTCTACTGTGCTGGATTGGTAGATGTGTGTATTCATCATTGGTTAAGTCAGGTTCATTATGATGGTTTCTCCTGGTATGTTCATGTTTTGAAGTGATGCGGTAAGCTTCTAACAATTAAAGGAAGCCTTAATGATATACAAAAACCCTAAGGAAAAAATAGATGAAATCCTTCCCTTAAACAAGGTGGCAGATTTAGTGGCCTAAGAAGCCATTCTTGAGGTCTACGCAAGCTGCAAGCACAGAATAGGCTACTTCCCTGTGTTTAAAAATCGGATACTTTGCCAGGCATGGTGGTACATACCTGTAATCCCAGCAGTCAGGAGGCAGAGGTAGGAGCCCTGTGAGTTTGAAAGCAGCCAGGGCTAGATAGTGAGACTCTTTCTCAAAAACAACCGAACCAAACACCAAACAAACCCCCAACAAATAAAGAATAAATTTTAAAAAGTTACTATTGGGCTAGGGATATATCTCAAGAGTCAGAGCACTTGCCTGAGCACATGCACAAGGCCGTGAGTTTGATTCCCAGTAGCCCAAGGTGGAGGGGGGGAAGAAAGACTTTAAAAAGGCTACTTTTTGAATAAATAAGTAAGACTCCTTTGGGTAGTAGTTAATATTGAAAAAATGGTCTCCATTTGAAGCAAATATCTTCAATGACTTAAATCCCAAGCAAATATGATTATGCACTTGAAAAAGGTAGATGTATAACTTTGTTTTTTGGTGATACTGGGGCCTCACGCTTGCTAGGCAGGTGCCCTACTGCTTGAGCCACTCGGCCAGCCCTGGATAACTGATTCTAAGTGTAAAGATACCAGTATCAGAGTCCACTATACTAATATTTCTCACTGGTATTGCTAGTGTTTGAGCTCTAGTTTTCGTTTAGTTTTATGTTGAGACTGTCTTTCCCGCCAGTTCCTGGTTTTTTGTTGTTGTTGTTGTTTGTTTGTTTTCATACTAGGGTTTGAACTTAGGTAAGCTCAGTGCTCTACCACTTAAACCACTCACCAGCCCAGTCTTGATTTTTACCTATGATGCTGCAGAACTCCAATTTCCCCACTACGTACATTCAGGTTTGTAGCAAAACGTCTGTAGCATGGAGCCTCTGGTTCCAGGAACTAATTATGACAGTGGTCAGTTCTTAGTACTGATCTATTAATGCATTTGTCTCTTGAGTGCACCTAGATTAAGTCATTTCTATTTCTCCTCTGAGCAGTCTATCTGGCTGCCAGATCACTCTCATGCTTGAAAACCTCTAAACCTAAATATACTTGTTCAAAACGAAGATTTCCTTTCTTGCCTAGCAAGTTCTCAGCCTTACATTTAAGGTAGTCAACCCGTAATTATTTCTCATTCTATGTTATTCTAAGCTGTGGACTACAAGACTTACTCTATTTGGGATGCTTGGTCCCTCTCTTCCCACTCATTGAGATTCAATTCCAAATGACTCACATTGAATCCCAACCCCAGAGCTTCTGAACACACTTTCAGCTCATAGCAGTTTCCCTCTCAATTAGTCATTTACCAAGTTTCCTACTACAGAGTATGTTCCTTAGGTGCTGAAATTTTTCGTCCTTGCATCCACTGTTCAAACATATATGCAAATATGTTCAACAGAACCCATCTCTCGTTACCTATTATAAAGGCACTGTCATCTCTCACTGCACAAGCACAGTGCCCCAGCTACTCTATGGGACAAGTATTTGTGGGCTCATCTGAAAGCTCAACTGCCAATACTGAGTGTGGTGGTTCCCCACAGAAAAAACTGGCTGGAAAGGCTGGTCAAATAAACCTAAGATTTAGAAACAAAAGACCAGACTAAGAAAGATATGCCTGCTTCGGTCACCTGGGGACAAGTTACTTCTGATACCTAATCTCTCTCTGAGACAGGGATTCACTATGCAGCCCAAGATTCCCAGCCAGGCTCCCTAATTTCCTCTTATACAAATGCTAATACTTATTTACCTCCCAGGGCAGAAAAAAAGATAAAATGGGTGAAAATATAAAGCCACCTGCAAAAGAAAATGATTATCAGAACAAGCTCTTTTCTAGACCCTATTCTGAAGTAAGAACTTACTGAGAGCTTCTTCCATACAGGAAGAGCCGATGGGAGCTCTTTTTGGGGCCAAATCAGTAATTAGCCTTTTATTTCAATTTACAATCATCCTCAAAACATATTTAAATGTCCCAGCCAGAATTTTGGTGTTCTTAATTCAGTACAAAGAAGCATTTCTTACCCACTAGCTAAAGAGCAGTAGTGGGGTCAAGCTGGTTTGTATCCCATCCTCCAAGGCTAGAAACGAAATTTGAACAGAGAGAAAGCAAATTTGTAGCTTTTTTGGGCATCTTATTGTTTTGCTAAGAGTTTACTTCCTAATTATCATGTAATAAAAAGAGGTTCAACTGTACACTTCCACAGAAAGATTCTGAAGTGCTAAACCAGATGTTGCCAAGTGCATTTTAGAGTTCCATCTTCCCTCAGAGCACATCCTTTAATAAGCTGATTCATTTGGTTTCTCAACCTACAGGTTTGAAGACTTCCAGTTTTGCATGATGGAGCTCTTTTAACATATCCTCCAAATCCTGCTCCTTACTTTGCAGTCTCTAAGGCACTAATGTCTAGATTCAACTAGAGGCTATTATTATTTTATAGCAGAAACGTTTCCTTATTTTTTTTTTCTTGTTTTGCTGGTGGTGCTGGGGATAGAAGCCAGGACCACATGCTACGCAAGCATTCTACTACCACTCTCTAGTAGAAAAAAACTTCCAAGCACAAAACATGATCCATTTACTTGCTAAGGTAATTCCTGAGCTCTTGTGAGACTTGGCTTTGCCATACCCACAGTATGGATCATTTCAATTTCTCCCATCCTTCATATCTTCTCCTGGAGACTTATACTTTTTTTTTTTTTAAACAAAGCCTTAACTTTCAAGTTCACATTATGTAAGACTTCATCGTTAACACTTTCAGAAAGGCTTTTGATGCTAAGCTTCACAAGCTACTCATTCAATATGGTGGGCATCCAATTGCTATAGGCCAGGCCCTTTGCCAAGAGCCCAGCCTGGGGAATAGAAATTGGACCCTGAATTCTGCTGCTACCACTTCCTAACTGTGTCATTCCGGCAAAGTACTTACGCTGTACCTTGTCTCCTCACCTCTAAAACAGGAATAACCAGCACTACCTCCAAATGTTAAAAGGATTAAATGGAACAAACTTTCCTCTGGCTGTGTCTACGCACATTGTAAACTCTCAACTAAAAATGTGATTTTAAAATGGTGAGCAAGAGCGACAAAATCCTTATCTGTGTGGATCACTGTTGGTTATTATACTTGTTTCTATTAAAAGCTCATTTTGCCTTCACATGGCCCTTCCCATAAAGACCTTATCTTTTTTTTTTCTATATAAAGCATTTAATGTTGGCTTCCTTTGTAAATGTTAAAAACCTTTTCCTTGTAGTGTCCATCTCTCCTAGGTAGATCCTCAGAGACTCCTTCAGGATTTAAGCTTAATACTAAAGGCCTCCAACTAACTGAAAGGATTGTTCCTCTTAAAGAAAAAGGAGTTTAAAAAGCGTATTTCTTAAGCACATGACTTTTGTTAACATAACAAGAACTAAACCAGAGTGTGTACTGTCACACAGGGACTGGCAATAAGGAAGCCATTAAATTCCCAACTCCAGTTTTAGCCTGGTATTTTATTGGACACTGCTTCGGAGCTAGAGCTCAGAATGATAACTTTTCCCCTATCTTAGGAGTGGCAATGCTAAGAAACATTTTCATCAGTTACTGAGTGACTTATTGCTTTAAGCTAATTTAGAACAGCGGATAATTTTTAAATTGAACAAAAATAACTGAAATAAGCAAAAATTGCTTTTCAGGGAGACCCCACGGGCCTATCAACCCAATGCAGAGAAGTAAATTATTGAAGACTGACTGCTCTTGCAACAAGAAAGACTTCTCCTTTCCAGATGTCAAGGCAAGCAGCAAAGTAAAGAAACCTCGATAAACACGCCAAGAGCGGGAGATTTCTGTCTGAAAATGGCAAATTTGTCCATTTCCAGCCCATCGTGTTCTTTTTGGCGTTATTCCACGTTTCACTAACCCATTCTTTCTGCAGTCAGAAAACTTTAAAGGAGGCCGTTTTTAAAAATGAAGTGTAATTACGCCAAGCGCTCTTGAGTTAATGGATTCACTTAAAAGGGAAACTGCCCAAAGCAGACCGAAGGGGTTTTCATTTTAGAGCAAGGGACGGTCTGCTACTCCAAACAAGCCTAGGTTTAATCCGAAACCGCAAACTGCTGTAACATGGAAGGCAAATGCAAAAGAGGCACAAGGACTCGGCTGCAGCACTCGCCATTTCTGCCCTGTGAGCACCCGAGGCCGATCGGCTTTAAGCTCAATTCGCTCGTGAACATGGGGACTCCGCTAGGTGACACCCACACGGCCCGGGACCTTCCCGGGGCGCAGGAGGCGCCTCGGTCCGGTCCTCACGAGGGCTCCAGAGGAGGACGCCGGGCTGGGCGAGCCCCTTTGTCTCCTCTATCGACCCAGAGAAATAAAGAAAGGAAGGAAGGAGGGCGGAGGGAAGGAGGAGGGAGGCCGATCCGTCCCCGCCCCGCAACCAACGCAGGGTCGGGGTGAGCGGGCACCAGGACCACCCGCCCGCTGTCCCCGCCGAGGCTGCTTGCGCGCCGGCCGCCTCACCTCGTCCTCCAGCTCGCTCCGGAAGCACAGGCACGCCGCCCGCTTCTTGAAGCCCTCGCGGTCATAGGTCCGCGTCTGGTTGGGCTTGAACTTCATCATAGAGGCGGGCTCCTGGCGCCGCTGCTGCTCCGACCAACGCCGTGGGGCTCCGGCCGCCGCCACCCCGCTGGGGAGTAGGAGGCGAAGCGAGTCGTGGCGCAGGGTCACCAGCGGGCGGAGAGGGGCAGCGAGGCCGGTCAGTCGTGGGGCCGACGGCCGCTCCGACTGGGTGCAGGACGCGAGCGTGGGTTACTAAAGTCCAGGGGCCGGGATGGAAGCGCCGCCTCTGCCCGGGCGCCCGCCGCAATCCATGGAGCCCGCCACTGCTTGCCGCCGCTCCCTCCGGCCGCCGCCGCCGCCGCCGCCGCCGCCAAGGGAAGAGCGAGGATCCAGGCTCGCGCCACGCGAAGGCAGTTGGGAAGACAGCGCCGACAGGGAAGCAGCGCCGCGGCGGATGTGCGCCGCCCCCTCCGCCTGTATTTAAGTGGGGCCCGCGCACGCCCCGCCCCCTGCGCGCGTCGTCCTGTCGGCGCGCGCGCGCCATCGCGCCTGCGTGCCTGGACCGTTGCAGCAGGGCGGGGCCGGGGTGCCCGGGGGCGGGGCCTGGCTGCCCGGGGGCGGGGCCGCGCGCCCTCGAGCTCGGGTTCGGCGGGGCTTCGGGGATGGTGCTCGAGCGAGCATGGAGTGACCACGCCTGGGTAAAAAGCCAAGACCTCTTCCCTGCCTGTCTATAAGTTCTGCTACCTTTCCCATGAGGACCCTAATACTGTCGCCTAGAGAGGGGATTAAGCTATATACACCCTCAGCAAAGTTGCACCCCGGTCAGAAAATGCCCCGAGGCTTTGCGGTGATTGCAGAAACTCTGCGGTGATCTTAACGCGGGAGACTGGGGAGTTAAAGGCCTAGAAAGGCTACGTTCAGTGAGAGCTTTTCTTTCATTTAGTTTCCCTATCGTGTTACTCATTTTTAATCATGACAGGTTCTTTCTTTCTCTTTTCCCTTCTCTTCTCTTCTTTCTCTCTTTTTCCTGTTTTCCCTTTGCTTTTTTCATGTTTGGTCAGGGGTAGCTTGGATTCTCTGAGTCAGCTCAAGTTTTAAAATGTCTTTGAAGTTGTCCATAGTGCCCCCCAATTTGTCTCACCTTCCAGAATGTGTTCAGAATGTTTTCCGAGTGTATCTCATGGTAAGTAACAGGCACGGCTGGGTGCTATATCACTACAGATATCAGATTTTCTTGCTGTCTGGAAGTTTAGTCTCTTGAAAGACATGGGACAGAAAATTTCACATTTTGAAGAGAAGGGCAAGATAGAAACCAGGAGGCCTGCTATCAAGGGAGCTCAAGAGGACCCCTAACCTAGTCCATCCCGACCCGTCCACAGCTCTGGTCTGGAACGGATGTCTTTATTTTTCATTCCTGGAGGGCCTCCTGCATCTACCAAAACCCGTGAGCCCCTTACCTCCCGGAGCAATGGGACCTGGGACGTCCAATCACAGTCACAGGAGTGCATGTAAAACTGCAAATGTGATGAAGCCTGAGGCGATGGAGGGTTTCACAGGGAGATGTGACCAGATCTGAAAAACAGTAAGGGAGTAAGGGCTTCCTGAGGACACCCAGCAGGGGTGAAGGGCTGCAGGGGAAGGAGCTAAGTGGACCAAGAGCTGGTGAACTTTGAAGGCAAAGGGGAAGTGAGATTTACGCAAAGGCCAGTGGGGGAGGGAGTGAGGAGAGTTCTAAGAATGTCAAAAGGCCAATGTGGCCACAGGATTACACCTGAGGCCGAGGACTGTGAGGCCCCACCACTGACTGAGCAGGGGGACCCTGGAGAGCTAGATCAGAATACAAGTCTTCCCCCTGGAGGCTCTGACTCCTTGGATTTGAGACTGCTGCCTCTAACTCTTCTTACCCCTAGAGCCTAGCATGTGCAAGTTTGTAGAATGAGTTAATGATGAATAATAGTTTAAGAGTGAGGCTTCACCACAGTTAGAAATCAAGGCCATACAGAGTCATTTTCTAAATCTTTCTTATTGAAGCCACTTGAAGTTTAACTAGTTCCAGAATTTAGAAACACAGCTAGCTCGGGACACCAGGATGACTAGCTAATATGCAAATACTATTTTTAAATAATTGCTTCACATTGATAAAGTGACTAATCTTGCTGTGATTCTTTTAAATGGTCAAAGAAGATTCAGTTTCTCTGCTTAAACTCTTCAAAGATCTGGCTTCTTGTAAGGGCTTAGTAAATATGAGTTGATTGTTGGTTCATTCAAGTCTTTCCCATGTATTAATTAATTACATGAGGGAAGGCATGTATCAGAATTAACTGAGAAGGAAGGGGAAGATGCCTCAATCCAAACTGCTGCAGGGTGAAAAGGCAACAGCACAGGACCAGTGAGTGTGAACAGGGGGCTGCTTGTTCCAGGTGCCAGGCCATTGGACTTGGTCAAAAATTTTGGCCTCAGCTCCTACGTGTCCACTAACTACATATGTTTGCCCCATCTCTAAGCCTCAGTTTTTTTCTCACCTTTCAAATGGGTACAATGATTTATAGCATCTTACACAAGGCTTAACTAAGAGTTAAGACTCACTTTGAATGAGTCTGAAAGTGCTTTGAAACTATAAAGCATTCCTTGCTGTTAAAGGGAATTTCTTTTTTGTTTTTTGAGACAGGGTCTTGCTATGTAGCCTGGGCTTTCCTTGAACTCTTGATCCTCCTGCCTTTCCTCCACAGTGCTGGGATTATAGGCAATACCACCACACTAGGCTACAAGAAAATTTTCATTGGAGATCTCTTCTCCTCTTCCCTTTCCTTAAAGACTCGAAGAGTAATGGACAGGTACTTGCAGATGTGCAGATGCTCTGGGTTTTTTTTTTAACACTGTGGGTGGAGGGATCTTAGTTTAAAAGGAATGCTGTGATGAATTATTTAAGACAAAGAATGGTTTGATTATATAAATAACCGTCTCCCTCCACACATATGCTTTCTTTTCTTTTCTTTCTTTCTTTCTTTTTTTTTTGTAATTGTTTGAAGGAAACCTAATAGGAAAGGAAGCTTGTCTGACTAAAATGCAAGAAGAGAGACAGTGCTAGGCCTTCATTTTCCCATGGCATTCCTCAGTGTCGGGGTGCACATGCCAGCCCATACCCCTGCTCACGATTGTTTAATACATGTTATGCATCTGAAATGAGCTTAGGCACTGTTCAAAGCTTAGATGGTATCCAGCCAGATCACGGTTGAGATAGACACAGGCTTGTTTTTCCTCTGCAGAGCCAGTAAGGACTGGGCTACACCGGCTGGTTCACTTGGGGATCAGAGTCCAGTTTCAGATTAACCTCTGTTTAGTTCATTTACCGCAGGATTGTCTTACCTAGAACTTATTTGCAGTGCCACTTCTCACACTGTTTTCAAATTTTCTCAATTTTCAGGGAGGAAAGAGTTTCACAGGGGCTGTAGATGGTTTTGTCTTGCCTCAGTGTCCTTTTAACAATGTAGCAGTTTCTTGTGTGATCCTTCTGGTGCAGAGGCTTTCAGCCTTGTCTTAAATCAGAACTAAATTCCTTGTCTTGGTATAGTTAGGACAATGACAAATGATCCTTCCTATGTCTTTCTAATGATAACAATAGCTATTCTTTATTGAGTGTGAGCCAGTACTGGGTGTTTTGCATGACCTCATTTGAATGATCCTAGCAGGAGCCCTATGAGGCAGCTACTGTTTTTGCTGTGTTTTTGTTTTGTTTTTAAGACAGGGTCTCCTATATAGGCCATGCTGGCCTTCAGTTTGCTACGTACCCCAGGCTGGCCTTAAACTTTTGATCCTCCTGTCTCAGCCTCCTCAGAGCTGGGATTACATACCACCACACCCAGAAAAGCAGCTTCTTTTTATTGTTCCAATTTTTTAGGCTAAGAAACCCAGGGGCAGGTCTCTGCAGCCCACGTTCTTAACTCCTGCACTGTGTTACAGTGAGCTTGGCCTGCTGTTTCTACTAGGTGATAATTATTAGTTTGTATGTGTTACAGTCTAACACAGGGGTTTCTTTTCTTTTTAAAATGAAAAAGGAACTTAGTGGGGATTGGAGGGGAAGGTCTTGAGGTTGGGGAAATGGAAGTGGAAGTCTGGATTACAAGTTTTTGCTTAAGTGATTTTTTTTTCTTTTACAAAGCACAGGTGAGAATAGGCAAACTCTGAAAATTAAATAACCTTAAACTAAATTGAAACTTTAGAATTAAAAATTCTAAAAATGTTTAATAATCCAACTAACATTTGAACTTTAAATGTAGACTTTTTGGTTTGACTGTTTTATCAACTTTTATTGGAGGAAATAAATGATTTTCAGACTCACAACTTCCTGTGTTCTCAATTCCAGTGCGCTGCACACAGCACTTTGTTTGACAAGCATTATATTTATAAGCAGTTCTCTGAAACGATGAAGGCATTTACTGGGAAGAGCGTCTCTCCTTTCCTTCTTTATCTTTCAGGGAAAGGTATATGCTGAGGAGTTATCTCTTGGCAAAGGCATGACTTGACATTTTTTGTTTTTTCAGACTACAGCAAATATTTATTTTCCTGTACCTTTGGCTCTCTTGGGTTAATTTGTTCTTTCTTAAAATCTTTTGTTTTTTATTATGTGCATACATTGTTTGGGTCATTTCTGCACCCTGTCCCCCTCCCTCACCCTTCCCCCCTCCCCTCCTCAGTTTCAGGCAGGTCCCGTTTCTGCCCTTGTGACTGATTTTGTTGAAGAAAAGACATAAGCATAATAAGAAAGACAAAGCGTTTTTGCTAGTTGAGTTAAGGATAGCTATACAGAGAGATTCCTACTATTGCTTTCATGTACCCATGTGTTATGACCCATGTTGATTCATCTCTAACTGATCTTTACATTGGTTCCTGATCCCCTGCTAGTGATAACCTGTTGTTTTAAGGTTTCTGTATTAGTTCCTCTGGAGTGGGGATATCAAATACTTTCATGTTTTGAGTTTTCTACCTATTCCTAGATCTCCAGTATGTGCTCTCCCCTTGTCATGTGATTAAAGTCCAACCACATTGCTGCATTTGTCCTAGATCTAAAGTCCACATATGAGGGAGAACATACGATTTTTGGTCTTCTGAGCCTGGCTAACCTCGCTCAGAATGATGTTCTCCAGTTCCATCCATTTACTTGCGAATGATAAGATTTCATTTTTCTCCATGGCTGAGTAAAATTCCATTGCGTATAGATACCACATTTTCTTGATCCATTCGTCAGTAGTGGGGCATCTTGGCTGTTTCCATAACTTGGCTATTGTAAATAGCACTGCAATAAACATGGGTGTGCAGGTGCCTCTGGAGTAACCTGTGTTGCATTCCTTTGGGTATATCCCCAAGAGTGGGATTGCTGGATCATATGGCAGGCATGACTTGACATTTTTG